TGATACATAATCACAGCTATGTTTAATTAAATAGGATATAATTTATAAAGCTTTTTGATCTAGGACCACTTTACATGCTTGCGAATTGAGAACGCCAAACAATTTTTGAATGGGTTATGTCTATCAATATTTACGATATTAGAAATTGCCTTAATTTGGAGTTTCATCAGCAAATTTTCTGCACATTGAATTACAGTCAAGCTATAAAAGTGTTACATTTTCTCCAGCAACCTATTTATTTGACCAGTTGAAAAGGGGTATGCGTGGGGCAGGTGCAACTAGAATGGGAAAAATTATTTTCTTCTTTAAATCGTTCAGAAAATCAATCAATCAAATCTTCACTACCAGGAAACCTTTCTTTACAGGCTTGTCTTTCTAATCATCACAGGGCTTTCAGTGATTCCTGCTGTGAAACACAAGTTTTGAAGCCCAATTAAATACAGAGTCAAATACAAAAATGCAGACTCTTTATTCTTAAACAGCTACTGCATTAAATACAACAATGGGTGAGATTTATGTCGCACTAATCGAAAAGTTTAAAGTATTTTACACCATGGGGTTTTTTAAATAGTGTGTTTAATCCTCCTCACCTTAATGATTCAGGAAATGAAAAGCAGCCTTAAGTGTAGGTAAAATAAGTGGCCACCTACATAGTACTATTTAAAATGTGTCCCAAAGTTTTCCTGCCACTGAAATATCATCTATAGTTATATTAACCTAACATATGTAAAATTATTTACAAATTGCAAAGCAGTTTTGCACCATTATCATATTTAATTTTCTCAACAATATTGAAATAAGTAGAGTTTTCACCATCCCCATTTTACATATAAGAAAACTGAGTTTAATATATGCAAGGGTCATTTAACACGATTTAATGTAATTCTCTGTAATCCCACTTTTCAATGAGAATGAGGTTCAGAGAAATTAAGAGACCTGCCTAAGTCACACAGCATACAAGAACTGGGGTGCAGACCAGAGATGCGGGGAGCAGAACAGGTGGATCTACTGAAATACACTGCTGAGGGGAGCAGTGGGGAGACAGAAGAGGTCTGCCGGGCCATGTGGGTTGCTCCTGGCCAGTGGGGATTGAACTCCTGCTGCAGTGGCTGGTGATAGGTTGATAGCACTGTCTTTAACCCTTGAGCCACCAGGGAAGCTTGAAAGCTGAAATTTTAACCTGGAACTGTTCTTCTGATTCCAGGCTCAAAGTTCTTACAAATTGGTATATATGATTCAGTTTTAATAAAGTTGGATAAAATGCTTTCAACATAAATTTGCAATATCTTAATTATAAGCAGGAAGGAACTTAATTTAAAATATTTTTTCTTGGGGCCTCCTGCCTGTTTCTCATCTGACTTGCTCCACTGCTACTTAATTTCTAGTTCTGACTCAAGAAAAATTAGAATGATATATATTGAATGAACTTCTGATAGCTTCTGATTTATACAAGGAAATAACCTGTTTTGAAGTAATTACCATAAATTACCTCACTTTTATAATTTAAAAAAAATCATTATAAGGACTTGTGAAAAGCAACAATAATGTATTATATTTCCTACAGATAGGTCCAAAAGTAAAGGCATATTGTTAGTTGCTTTTACCAGTTCTGCTGGTAAATAACCACCCTCTCACCTGTTCATCCTTATCACTTACCACACAGAATTTGCAAGACAGCTGGTGGCAGAGAGGACAGGAATACTGCCTATCATTGTACAACTGAGTAATGTTGCCTAGCCCTATCTGGGATAATATCAGGCTTTCATTAATCTCATGCTTTTTAATACACTAAATTAAATAGCAATATCCCCTCAAAGTACCTGCTCTATCTTCTAAAAGTACTTCTTAGACATCCTAAATTTAGAGAGCTTTCCATGGGCATTGCTACATTTCATTTTGAAAGTGAATTATTGGATGGGATCTTTTGACAACTGTCTCCATAGAGATCAATGTGACAATCTCTTTATCACCTCCTTATTAGCCTGATGGAAACAGAAATTCATCCTTATGTCTCTAAAGAAATTCATCCTTATGTCCCTATTCCTGGATTCTTGTTCTAAACAAAAGTGAAAGGATGTGTTTTAAAAGATACTTGCCTGTACTTACATATATCCGAAATTTCTTTGAAAAAAAAAACACCCAATAACATGATTTTGACAGCTCAATCACAATTTTAATGACCTCACATTTACTGTGGAAAAGTAAATATACTCATATATGGCCCCACTTATTCCAATAAAGTCCTCAAAACCTTTTGAGAGATAAGTGAACAGTATTTGGAATTAAGCCATGAAATAAGAGGCCATGGGTCATGAAAGACATTTATAGATTAGCTGCTTTCACATCTAAGCTACTTTTTGGCAAATCCTCAACTTTCATTAACCATTTTCCCCTCCCCAAAGCAGCCACTCAAACCCCCCCCCAAAAAAAGGCATATTATTAGTTAATTTTTCAGAGATCATGGGATGATTGAGGTAGCTTAATAGTTTTTTTATTAAAAAGTGTAGGTTTTGCTATTCTAGCTTTACCTTTATATATTCTGATGGGTACAACTTTATTAATCATCTGGTTGATTTCACTTTTTCTAGAGAATTCAGTTGATTCTTTATTTCTGCCAAATTGTAATCCTACTTTCAGTTAAAAACTTACAAAAATTCCAAAATTTCCCCTTCATCCCTTGCTCCATACATAGGATGGACATAGTATACCATCTCCTCCTATGCCTATGTATAAGGTATTCATCTTTCAAAACCTCTTATGCCCCAACCCCACATAAAATTATAGTTTTTTTTTTATCTGAATCTCCACTGTGGTCTTAATTTAGACCCAGTAACGAATGGTCACTGTCTGTTTTTAAATGCCATTCTTCAGTTATTTTTTAGGTGTTATTTTGTCTTTCCAGAAGATTTGAATACTCCTTCAAGTCACTATGAATTGCATATTTAACCTTATTGTTATGATTCACACGCAGTGAATGCATGCAATAGCCATTGAATAGTCATTCATTGCACAAAGTCAAACTAGTTGCAAGCCAAAATATGAGCCAGGATTCATAAATTAATAACACCTAGTGTGATTTTGGAAAATTTGTGGTGTCATTGACTTTGTCAGCATACCCAGTCATTTGGTACTTCGTATAATACTTCACTCTCACATAATCCACTTAAGATGGTAGCTCACTAAACAAGCATTTCTCAGTATAAACAGTCAATGATTGCCTCAGTTTGACAAGCATAAAAAGGTTTTACAAGGGCTTTGTGGCCACTAGTCAGAAAATAGTACAAGCTTAAACATAAACACGCGAACAAGACTTAGAGGCAATTAGCAGTCATTAAAGCAAGTTGCACTTTCCCCTCTGATATGACAAGTGTTAAACGAATTTGTACCACCACAACACAATTATATTGTTAATAATAAGTTTGCTTTTACATAAGGACATGGGAATATTAAATTGGAGACTAGAAACCGAATCTGGGAATCAAAACATTTCTTAATGGTGAACCATGCTAGGCAAATGAACAGATTCCTCTGGTTGAAGTATTGGACACTTGCTGTGGTTGTCTTTCATTGAGATTAAACAACAACACAAACTACAGGTCAACAGTATGTAGACAGGGATCAGAACCGTGGCAGGAAGATGTGGACTTAGAAACCCAAAAGGCAATTTCTGCCATGAGTTGTGTTTTCTCATAGCAGTGACCATTCCTTTGCATTAATATTCTCTTGAATATACACACACATTTCACATATCCTTAAATTGAAAGACATAGTGTATAAGTCGGTTGTTTTCCTTAAAGAAGAAATATATATATTTGTTGAAATGTAGTGCCATATTCTGATATTGAGGAAAGATAAGGGTATTTTAAGGTCTAGTCTGCATAGCACAAGTCTTAGATAAATTTAAGAAGGAGACCAATTTTATTGATGGCTTTATCCTAGATCAAGATTAGTAATCTTAGATGAGGAACTGGTCATCGTAAGAGCAATTAAACTGTAGATCAAGAGTAGAAAATAAAACTTGGGAAAGTATACTTGCTAATAGTGGGGTAAGGGGTTGAAAGGTTGGAAGAACAGAAAATGCCTTATGCCAAGAATATTACAAGGCAAAATCTGAGCTAATATTCATAAATTTCTGATATATGCTATGTCCTTTCTCCCTCCTTCCACTTATAGAGAAGTTTCTAGAACTAGCACAGGAAATATATGTGTATATGTACCTGTGTATGTATAAATGTGTATATTTAAAGATCTAGCTATAGATATCTATGTTGATATATACACACATATAAACTGGTATAAGCACACACAAACAATACAAAGCTGGTAGACTAGAAGGTAAGAACTGCAAGTTGGAGGGCTTAAAAATAAAAATCAATATGATTCTTAGAGATATTTCTGATAGTGCTAAATCATTTGCTTCACCTTCATAGGAGATATTCAGACTGAAAGCAATTTAATCCCCCAAACCTCTGTTCTCCACCAAGTTAATGATATGCATCCCCCAAGTGGAAGTTTAAAGTACAAGATTCGGCATGACACTCTGCAGAAGGTTTGTATTTCCAAACTAGAGAGGGCGACTTGGCCACTAGCTTTTCCAACTAAAAGTTCAAAAACACTCTTAATGAAGGACCATGGCTTCGTGATTCTTCTATAATCTTAAAATGAATTTTATTGCCAACTGGTCTGTAACATGGCTATATAGCAAATATCTTCACTGTCCCTCTACTCCTGTGCAAAAAGCAGTCCTACATTTAGCTTCAAAGGAGTGTCACAGATTTATCCCCTCCCCCTCCTTTTCTCCCTCCCTTCCCTAGCAACTGGTAACCTCAGAAAGAGAACTCCAAATCTAGGAAGAAACAGTTGGTCCCTGCCTTCATTAGAGTTGCCAAGCTGCTCTAAGGCAGAAGCAGAAGTCACTTCTCCAGACTGAGTTGGCCTGTGTGGACTTTCAGCTGGTTTTCTGCATCACCTCACGAAGGCTATCCTGATCAGATTTCTCCATGGCTTGCATTGAAAATGTGTAAGTACAAAACCAAGTACAGCTGTTTAAATTGTGAAGGCAAAAAGCAGTTTGACTCTTTTTCCTTTGTAAATGGGACAGAGACCAGCGGGTTGGAGGCAATTGTGGAAGGAGATCACAGATAAAAACTTGAAGGATATACACTCAGCTGCTATATATTGAACTTCAGGGTGGTGATTTATTAATGTAATTTTGAAACAAAAGTTGCAAATCCTTAGTCTAAACAGTAGGGTTTAAGCAAGAGGAAATTCTTACTCTAGGTTGAGATGTTGTTTGAAAGAAGAGAAATTTTAACAAAATTCAGTGGAAATATTGAATATTTAATAAAGAGAAACTGGAGTGTTCATTAACAGAAATAATTAACAGAATAAAAGATCTTTCCTCTAACAAGATTTTTCCAGAATCTGAATGCTGGGCTTAGTGGATCATAGATCTTGTTGGGACTGAGAAAGCTGGTGTTTTCTCTGCACACTGCTGCGTGTAAGAGAGCTATCTGGGTGTTTTAGGCTTGCTTCCTGACTTCAGGAGGTGGAGAAATGGGTATTGTGGAATCAGGTTGAAAGGAAGTGAGCCTTGAAGGAAAAATCACATAGCCCAGTGCTAAGGGGGGCCTGCTACTGAAGGGTCTCCCTGATGAGGGAAACAGGACTGAGGAAGAGTTTGCTGACCACTTGTGGGAAAGGTGAAGGTGCACCCTTTTCCTCAGGTGTCAGTCCAATCACTTATTTCAGATATTTTCTGGTCACTGCATTTACATGTTTAGTAACTTATCTATTTCTGGTTTTGCAAGCATTGGAGGGCATGGTCCTTCAGCCTTACCAGTAGCTGCAGATGAAAATGGGAACCAGGAGCCATGCCTAGATGTGCCCCTCCAGTGTCCAAGTTCCATGCCAAGGAATGATGTGGAGTCCTGGGGCCACCTTTGCATCCCTGTCCCGCTGAGACCTTCCTTCAATGTGCTGACCGATCTGGCAAGAGAGCAACTGGAGTGTCCCTCGGAGGGAACAGGATCCTGCATTCCTGTCAACAATTTGAGAGCTCTCCAACACCCCTATGGGCCACCACCTGCTGTTGCCGAAGCGTCCTTAGCAACAGCAGAAGTAAATAGCTCTGGGGGGTTGGCAAGCCTGAGGCAGAGAGGACAAGATTCTGTTAATATGTCCCAAATATTCTCTGGCGGTCCTTCTGCATTGATGATGGGGGGAGCAAGGGTCAGTAATGGGAGCACTGACATGGGTGGCAATAATACCAGGTTATATTTGGGTTTGCCACGTGGTCAAGGGTTCGTTCCAACAAGAGGCCCACAAGTAAGAGGCCCTCTACATATTCCCACCCTGAGATCAGGGATAATGATGGAGCTGCCTCCGGGAAATACAAGAATGACCTACAAGGATAGGCTGGCTCATGTTTCTTTCCCAATGGGAGGGGGCCCTAGACACCCTGTGGATAACTGGCCAAGGCCGCTCTCCTTGACTCCCAGTGCTCAAGGCTTACCTTCGTGCCCTACTGCGCATGCTTTTGTACCTGCACAACCTCCCACTTTCAATCCGTTTCTTCCTATGCCTATTGCTTTTGCTCCTCCCCCAATAGTTGGTCCACCCCAGCCTTCTTATTTTGCCAATTACCCTTCCTGGGGGATGCCAGCTCCTGCATCCTCAAACAGGGAGAACAAGTGATGGCAAGAGAGTAAGGCGAAAAAAAGGGTAGGGGAAAAGGTGAAAGTTACTCATTTATGATTGTGTATTTGTAGCCACCCACCCTCTTACACTGTGTTTAGCACTATAATGTGCCTTATATATTGGAGATTCAATAAAGATTCTGAAGTTTAAAATATTGTGAATTATGTTTTTAAGGTTTATTTATGCATAGAAGAACTAGAGTGTAGGCCAGAGGGATGTGAGGGGGGGAGGGGCGGGTGAGAGGATTCACCAGAGACAGAGTGGGGAGCAGAACATGCAGATCTACTGAAATGCACTGCTGAGGAGAGCAGCGGGCGAGACATGAGAGGGCTGCTGTGCCATGTGGGTCACCTCCCTGGCCAGTGATCGAACTCATGCCACAGTTGCTGCTGATAATAGTGCTGAGACTGAACCCCTACACTACTAGGGAGGCCCAATGTTGTGAATTATTTTTTAAAACACCACCCTGGGATCCTAAATCTTGGATTTTGTTTTTACCTTTAAGGCAATTAAAGCAGTAAAATGCCAATGTTTTCTAAGTAGCTTAGTTGAATCCCCACCACTGGTCTGCAGATGTGACTGTGGGAAGAAGTGGTTGGGCTCTTGATCGGCTAAGTCTAGGGTGAGAATTCTTACCTACCTAAGGCTGTGGGGGGTACTTAGAGCAGGATGGGTAAATTACAATAAGGTCCAAAAGTTAGACAAAAGTTTAGATAGAGAGACAATGCATAAACACTACTTAGATGACACAGAGGTGAGAGTAATAAAGCCAAAATTTCACAGCCAATTGGAGGCAGAGCCAGGCGGAAAGGTCAAGGGAAATAAAACAGCAAATAAATCAGCAAATCAAAGGGCAAAGGAAATAAAGTTCTAGATCTCTTCACACATGATAAGGGTGTGCCTCAACATTTCACTGCTGCTAAGTTCAGTGTGTGTGTGTAGCGTATATAGGGCTGCCTTAACAAAAGTACAAAGCAATGCCAAACAGGGATGACCCCTTCACTCATTCCTGAGCAAAGGGCTACGATATACGCAGAATGTTTCAACGTCAGTGGAAATGTTTTACTCATGTAGAATTATTTTCCTCAGATACTACTGTACTCTTTTTAATGTGCTAGAACACCCTCCTTATAACGAGAGTTCTGAGAGATTATCAAAGTGCCCATATGGGAGCATTTTGAAATTCAAATGACAAAGCTGGGCACAGCATGCACGGTGGAAAGAGGGTCGTTCTGAGTGCAGGACAACTTAACTCCCTCTATAGAAAACTGCCCTGAAACAGTGCTACTCTATGTGAACATCCACTAAATTAAAAATATGTTTAGAGGGCAATTCTTCAAACAAGCCTTTTTTCTTCAGAACTATGGTGTAGATGATGAGTATAGCCAGTTAAAGGCTGGAAAAGCCTGCAGATCCAAAAGCCATAGCCTATAAACAAAACCCATCAATAATGGGTCTTTACTACCTTGGCACATGACCCCATGAATTTTCTTTTTCTCCATTTGTTTCATAATAGATTGCTCTATATTTACAGGTGGTAGTGCAAGTCTTAGAAGGAGCACCTGGATAGTGCTTGCTAATATTCCCCTCACTCTGTATGTCCTGAAACTGGCACGATTCCCTCAACGCCCTGGGGTGGGTTGAGCACAAGTATTCAGCAAATCACTTGACAGCTGCTCGCTATGAGGTAGCTTAGTCCCAATGTACCAAATACTGATTTTTCAGCCCTAATGAACAGAGGAGTCGGACATGCTTATAGTCATCAAAAATACCTTCTGAGCCAGATGTTAAAAGATATTTTGACAAGAAATCAAGTTGTTGTGTCAACGGCAGTGTTGAGTCCCTGGAGAGTTGCCAAAAAGTGTGGTAAGTGACAGCAGGACAGGAGATATTTCCCTTCTCCAAGGAAGCAGTTCTGATAAAAACTCAGAAAGACGTTACTTACAATTACAACAACCCATGACAAATTCAATTGCAAAAAATGTGCAACAAACACAATCTGCTCTTTTTCAGCTCTCCATTCTCTTTCCCAATACCTTGTGTCTGTTTGTTACTTTCTATGTCATTTCTAAACACTGAATACTTACAGTAAGCAGCAAAGAATAACTATTAATGAGTTGAGACACTGAAGTTTTATTTATACATGTGGGGCATAGGGTAAGCATATTTTCTTTAGTTTATGTAGTGCTCTGTGCCCACATAACAGCTTTGAGCAAATGCAAGTATCAAGTATGAAATAAGGCTGGGAGCCTGTTGTTAAATGCAAGTGAAATATAAACATTTCTGCTTATTCATGATTCCTGTATGAAATATTGTGTTACCTTGTTATCATAGGTGCCAGCATCCTCTGTGTCAGCAAAAGATACCTTTATAACCAATTTACCTTAAAATTGTTATTTTTAATTATTCTGGAATAATAAGAGCCAATATTAACTGTATATAACAACATCTTCTTCATTTTTGACAGTGCTCATCATGCAGTATACTCAACATTGTTTTACATAGATGTCTTTCCTTTCTTTTCTGTGACTTCAATAGCTCCTAGATATAAAGCAGCAAGATAAACATCAACCAAGTAGCCTTTTCTTCTGATAATAATGAGGATGGGTTAAATATTTCCTATTCTAAGTTATAATCATTGTCACAAGAAGATTCATGTTGCAGAGTTTATTATTTATAGTTCCCATTACATTCTTTGTCACAGACTGTAGCATCGGAATTTTAATGTCCTGTATATTCTCTAGAAGATAATAATAAACTGTACAACTTTGACCTTTTCCATGTCCCAAAGTATGATTCATTAGCCATTTCTATTTTCCAATGTTTACAACTACTGTAGCCTGGTGGAAGAGGTATAAATGCAGCCAATCAAACTGCACAATACTGAAAAGGTTAAAGTTCAAAGTGATGAAATTTGTGAAGTTTATAGTCTTTCATAAACCAGAATGACATTAAAATTACACCTCATTCTTCTGAGAATTATTGCAACAAAAAACACTAAACACGGCCAAATAATGTATTTTCATTGTAGTCTAAAGATTGAGATCATTGTGTTATCTTCATCTACTATGAAACAAGTGATTTGTTGTGACTGTCACTAAATAATTACATATGTATATATACTTCCATAACTCTTCAATTGTGATTTAACAATGGTTTTGGGATTTTCAAGTGTTACCAAGAGACTGAATTCTAAAGACGCTATGTAAATATAGAGCTATGTAAATGACTCTACCTCAAGACTAATGGGTCAAATTCAGAGATGAAAGAAATTTTACCAGACAAAAAACACGGTTATGTTGTGGGTTAATTCCATAGCTATCACAAACGTTACACAAACTTCTTTATAATGAGCTGGATTGAGTGGCATTCCCACCGAAAGAGCAGATGAGGTTAAATTAAGCATAAGAACCCATTTATTTCTCTGTGGTGATGTTCATTTTTTCTAATAATAAAGCACATGATAGCATTTTTCAGAATGAAGTCTAGATCTGAGAGTTAGAAAAATTGTGTGTCATCATGCAATATTTTTCTTAAGAGCTAGAGAAGGTGCTACACTTGCTTAAGACAGATTGTGTGCTTTGTGACCCACCTTTGGGGACCTGACCACCAATTAGGACAGCTTTCACAATATCTCAGGATTTTAAAGAAACTATCTGTGGAATTTATTTTCATGAAAGTGATTCCCCATTGTTTTCTTTTTTTAAGATTCATTTATTTATTTATGCATACAAGAACTGGGGTGTAGGCCAGAGGTGGGGGGAGGGGGTGAGAGGATTCACCAGAGACAGAGTGAGGAGCAGAACAGGCAGATCTACTGAAATACATTGCTGAGGGAAGCAGCTGGCGAGGCAGGAGAGGTCTGCTGCACCATGTGGGTCACCTCCCTGGCAGGGCATTGAACTCAGGCCTCAGCGATGATAGCATGAGATCACTGACACTTAACCCCCAGGCTACCAGGGAGGCCCTCCCCATTGGTTTTTTGAGACCGAACCAATAATATTACTTTATGTAAATAAACTGTATTTTCCTCTACTCCAGAAATCTCTTTCCCCACATAAAATAGTATAAAGCACACAAACCCATCAATCTTACCATAGAGGACTTTGTCCATCTAATGGTACTTTTAAATTTTATTGGGAAATGTAAATTTATAACTGACTTCATCGAATACCCCAAAAGTAAAAGTTTTGACTCAGGCCAAGCAACACAGAGTGGGAGGGTTGATAGATGGTGAGTGTGCATGTAAGAAAGAGGAAAACAGATCAAGAAAGACAGGGGATTAAAAATAGAGAGGGGCAGGTCTTCTGTCAGTTAAGAACAGATGAAGTGCTTTAGAATAGGAAGCAGCTGCGAATTGGAAGTACTGTGGGAAAATAAATAAATTTGGATGTGGGAGAATATAATCCAGAGATGATAGAGAGGGGTAGGGTAGATTGGAGAGAAAAAAAGTATTATGAAGGAAGTGTTTCATGACAGAGAGGGCTATGTGGGTGCCTCACATTTGAGAGGGTAGAGATGAGGTGATTAGAGAAACACTATCCAGCCTTCCTAAAAATGAATCTATCTGTGCTGCTTCATTCCTTCCTATAAATATCATCTCTCCTTAGATAGCAACCAATCTCATATTCCCTATGTGAAATTGGAAGCCCTTTCTGGTTTAGGTTTCATCAATACCGCAAACTGGCCTTGACTAACAGACACCTCATCATCAAGGTTAACTTTATTAGTGAGCTGGGCATGCAAAGAATTAGGCTCACAAAAGAGCATTTTCTCTTCAAGTTCACAAATACAATAGGTTCGGAACTTGTTTTTTTTCCCTTATAATTTAAACTTTTTCCCCAGTAATATTACTGATGATTTTCTAATTTTACCTTTTTGCTTTTACTAAGTCATAATTTTCTGAGATGAAGTTTCTCACTTTATTAATCACATTTCATGCAGAAACTAAGAAGCAATCTATAATTTTCCCCAGGGAGATACTTTAAGTATAAAAT